ATATATATATATATATATATATTAATATAGATATACCTCTTCTATATCTTTGACATGCAGATATGTGGTATATTCGCCTCCAAATACTCCTCTGATGTTTCTGTATATCCACGCTGAATATAAAATAACTTTATTGGCACCTGTGCATGCAATACCACAGACGGCAGCTTCAACGTTTTCTCTATATACTTCTCCACTGCCTGCATTAAAATATTCCCACAACCCCGTCGACGATATTCCTTCCGCACACACACCCGCTCCACCTTGGCGACTGGCGAGGGATACGCATACACCCCGCAGTCCCTCACCACCCGCACCCGAGCGGAGGCCACTGCCAGCGGCGGTGTTGTTGTTGTTGTTTGGTTGGATTCACTTTGGATTTCGTAAACGACGAAGTGAGTGGCCTCGCCGTCTTTGGAGTCGAATTCCAGTTCGGTGGGGACGCCCTGTTCCCCGACAAAGATGAGTGTGCGGAGAGACCTGGCATCCCGCAGCACATCAGAGTCCTCGCCTTTGCATACACGCACAATAAATGGCATATCTGTACAAGTCCAATAGATAGATATATATATAGAGTGAGGGACAGAGAGAACTTTACTCTTTACTTTTTCTTTGTTCATGTATAGAAAAAAAACAAAACGGGGAAATATAGGAAAGATATATATATATACAGAATGTGGATGCAAGTAATGCTCATGATGGTGAAAAGAGAAGAAGTGCTGTCGAGAACATAAAAGACTACTATTACTACTCTCGTACATGGAGAATCGAATAATAATAATAATAATAATAATAATAATAATAATAATAATAATAATAATAATAATAATAATAATAATACAATAAAAATAGGGAAAAGGGTTAAAAAAACACACATTGTTAAGAAGCGTAGAAATATATACTCATTTTTCTTATCATCCAACTGAACCTTTATACAAATATATATATATATATATATATATGGAATAAGATCACCTCATCTACATCTCTTCACTCAATGGCTCTAAACTACTATTTGTATACTTTGATAGCACCTTTTCAATCATCTGCACTTGTTGTTGTTTCTCCTCCACACGTACGGCATCCACTCCCGCTTTTCGATATAAACGTTCCCGTCGTCTCTGTGCACATACACTAAATAATGTTTCCCATGTAAATTCCTTTTCATAGTAACAGTGAAAGACAATACTTGCCCATACCACTGTGTAGCCTAGAAAATAGGTCATGGGTTCCACTAAATTCCAATCAAACACCATAAAAACCCAACGAAAAAGGATAGAAAATTGTACAATAAGAATAATTAAAGTAAGATATCGTAGTAATGGAATATACTTTTTTTCAATAGCAGTATCAATTCGTTTTTTAGTATCCAACAGGGATGCAAGTTCCTCACGTCTTTCTTGTAAAAGAATACCTAGTTCACGCACGGCCTTATTTACTCCTTCTGCATCACTTGAGAGGGCATCATTTAATAATTGATGAAATGTCATTGTGTCGATTACAACAGGGACGTTGTTGTTGTTGTTAACAGCCGCAGCATTACTTTTATAAGAGTGATAGAGTGCGATAGTGTTTGGGGTTAATTTCTCTATTGGCATGGATGTCACTCCATGGGAACAACAACATTTACGCACTTGTTGTTGTTTCCATAGAAGTAACTGGAGAGAGTTGCAACGCCGCACTGTTGATTTTCGCAGTAAGACTGTGAGAGTAAACATTCCCGTTTTGCTTTTATTTTTTGTTTTGTGTCTTCTAAATAATAATAATAATAATAATAATAGTAATAATAAACAGAATTAATGCCAAATGTCTCCTGCAACTAGATAATTATGTAGATGGACGTATATATTCTGTACATAAAGAAATACCTCTGTATGTGTTTTCTTGCAATGTAAATAAGAAAAAAACGCACAAAAACAAAAAAAGAAAATAATAATGAGAGATTTATCACTTACATGAAAATAAGTATTAAAACCCAATAATAAGCAGTAATTAAAATACCCCTTCATATACATATATATATATATATTCTTTTTGTTCTTCTCTTCTCAACAGTCTCCTGTCCTCTTCTCAACAGTCTCCTGACATCATTTTTTCCTCTTTTCCTCTTTTTCCCCCCTTTTATGTCTCCTCTCTGTTCTCTGGCCGTGTGAACAGTGGACGGGGAATTATTTGTAAACGACGAAAGTCAAATAATTGTTGTGTGATGGGAAGCCGACGGCGTAATTTCTGCAGTACGCGATCATCCACATCTCGGGCCGCGTGCAGTACAGCACTCTGCACAGACTCCTCATGTTGTTGTAGAACTGTCATTACAGCTCTTGTCAATTCCCACGCATCGGGAGTATTTCCCGTTGACGGAATTAATAAAGTGTTGGTATCATCTGCAGTGAAGATCTCTGCAGGCCATTCTGTTAACGGTGTGGGATTGAGTTCTCTGGCAATCTCAAGATGTATATTCCCTTCTTCATAGTAATGGGCGTAGACCTGCGTTTCTCCTCTTATCTGGATCTGCATTTCCTGCGATGTAGTCTTTATGCATTCCACTATAAAAATAGACTTCCAGCGACCAGACCACATATTACGTGGGAAATAACGTAAAGCTGACATGGCAATGATAAGTGATCGCTGTTGTGATGATGATGATGATGATAGTTGTTGTTCTTTCACTGTATTCTCTTCATTTGATGTTGAAATAGTAGTAGTAGTAGTAGTAGTAGTAGTAGTATTCCGTTTATTGCCACTCCGCTGCTGCTGTAGAGCTACAAAGGATCCAGCACATGTTTTGGCCCCCTTGCGAGAACTATTATTATTATTATTATTATTATTATTATTATTATTATTATTATTATTATTATTATTATTATCGTTGTTATTATTTATGAGCATTCGGGCAGATCCCATTAACTGTGCTGACCCACACTTCTTCTCCTTCTTCTCCTTCTCCAACTCCCTTTGTTTCTCTGCAGAGTCTGTGGATTCAGTTGTTGTGCCAAAACACATTTGTACATAACGAGCGACTTCTTGTTGAAGAAGAAATTGCACATGCCCGCACAACCCATCGTGAAGTCCTCCCACTTGACGTTCAATCTCCTGTAGTATCTCCGGCATTGTTGGTATAGTTGCAGAGGAAAAGGGAATAACACAACAACATATTTGCTCTAATGGATCAATCTCAATATACAATTGTAATGAAATATCAAAGAAGACATGTTTTAATTCATTAAAACCATACGATGGTACAATATCCGCAAAGGGATCCTCGGGTTCTGGTGGAATGTTCATCTCTGTTTCTAGAAAGGTGGCGATATTAGAATTAATAGGACTTCCAGCCGTTTTTCGAATAAGAGTAGATCGTTGCTGCTGAAAGTATTCTTCCACACTCTCCATAATTTCACGAAGAGGAATATGATGTAGTTGGGCAAATCGTTTTATCTGTGTAAACAGATGATTCTGCCTTCCTGCTAAAAAACTAACATTACCTTCTTCAACAATAGCATCAGAAGTTTCTTCTGTTGTTGAGATAGATGTAGAAGGAAATTTGGGATCTACATATCGAATTTTACTTTCATGCCGTTTAGCATAACTGGCATCTAATGTAAATGGGGTAAGATGACGTAAGTGATGTTCCATACAGAGACGTGGGGCCGCCTCAAAGAAGAGATGATCATCGCCTGTAAGTACTCGAAGTGATTGCAGAACACTTGTGAGTTCGCCAGGAGGTGCGGTGAGAATAAATTGACGGAGAATATCCACCGGATCCATCGTTTCATCCGCATTGCAGTCACTAGATGCCATTTTTTGCTGCTTCAGTCACTCCTGAGACGATTTCTCTCTCCTTCTCTCTCTCATATATATATATATATATATATATATATATATATATAT